CGACATCTCGGTTTTTAAAAGTCAATTTTGGTACCCAACTGGTGGTAGTTCGGTCGATGGGTTCCGGTTGGGGGCTCGGTGGCAAGATTGGTGGAGTAACAGTCTCATCTTCATCAACCAAACTTGGTTCGGACTCGCTGGTTCGGGCGCGCTTGGTTCGGCGCGATGAAGACGGTTGTTGAGAAGGGAGGGCCACAACGGCAGGCTGCGCCTCAATAGTTGGTGGTACTTCGGCCCTGGTTGTTGCGGTCAGAAGGGCCCTCACTCTGCTTTTCTTCGCCATCTCTTCTTCAGCTGTTAATGGGACAAGTCGTATTTCGGGCAAGTTTGGGTCCGGTTCAGGTGCTTCCTCTAGAAGGAAATCGGTCACTCGGGCCTTTCGACGACCGCTATATCGGTAGGTCGGTTCAAAGTTTAGAAGCTTGGCCCAACTCCTTTCTTCACACCGTAGTGCGGCTCGCAAAATCGCAACGTTGGGATAGCTATATAGGGAATGGAGGTGGGCAAAATCTGCAAAAAGAGAAGTGTTAGTTCGGTTAATAGACTTAAAAAAACCCGAAATAACATTCAAGGAAGAAGACCGAAGTTAAATTACCGGGCTCTCCCTTTTTCCAATTTATAGGTCGGCCAGGAATTTGGGCTTGAAAATCCTCAAAGTTCCCAGAGACCCAGAAAAAATCATCGTCATTGAGATCTTTGTCCGGTGTGTGTTTAACTATCTTCTCTCGGCAGCGGCGAATCCTAAGGTAATAGACCCACCCAGCATCTTTTGAACCGATGGAGTATTGATGGAAAATTTCGGCCAGGCCGAGGTTTAGTCCGGTTTGGTGGTTCAGTGCGGCTATTCCCATTATAATGCGATATGTATTGGTGGACAGTTGGGTGGGGCATAATCTAGTCTGCCTAAGAAATTCACAGATCAGCGGTTGGACGGGAAACCGTAGTCCGGTTTCTATTATGGATTGAAGGGTAAAAGGGACGTAGCCTTCTTTTTCCCAGGGAATAACATCTTTTTCGGCTAACATCAGATGGACGTCTTCAGGAATATGGTAATCTTTCCTAAATTCGGCCATACCACCAGGGGTCTCAACTAGATACCTATACTTACCCATCTGATGTATAATTTACTTATAATTTATATCGGTGCAAAAATCGTGCTCAGTAGCTCGGTTGAGCGCACGCAGGAGTGCCTGGGTAACCTAAGTCTGCAAAGTAGAAAACAGAGGGGGGTTAAAGCACTGATCGTTAGACCGTGCTACAATTTAAAAGCAAGGTATAAGAGCCCTACTTCGGCCTCAAAAAACTGGTTCTATCTCGGTTCATCAAGAGGTTTGGTAGCTCGGTTTGAGCAATTTGCTCGTTAGACCGGTTTATCGTATAGGGGCAGCTTTCTGAGTTCGGTCTAAAAAACTAAGAAAGCTGGTTTAGCCCCAAGGCCTAAATCGGTTGTAGTGTGAATAAAGTTGCTTCAGTTAAGCCTCTAGGGGCAGCTTTCTGAGTTCGGTTTAGAAACTAAGAAAGCTGGCTTGGCCCCGAAAGCTTAGTTCGGTTGAAAACCGAGGTTCCTAGTTTGAAATGTTCAAAACTCGGTGATCTTATTTCGGCTAAAGTGAGTCAGGCTCTGGTAACTTTTTGAAACTTTCAAATTCTAGTTCGGTTATTGATTACGGTGATCTACCTATTTGGGGCAAACAGGATCCTAGTTCGGTTGCTACCTAGTTTTAGATCTAAGGCAAGTTTTTTACAGGAGTTCATGCATATATAAGCTCTGCTATTATTTTTTCATGAAAGTACAGAAACGAAGCGTCAAAAATGAAAGAAAATGTTTGCAAAAAACATGCAAAACAAAACTATACAGATTCGAAAGCAAAATAAAGGAAGCAAAGTGAGTCTACTTACCAGGTGGAAGAAGGGGGATCTGATGATGGGAAAGTGGCAGCAAAATCAGTTCTCAAAAGTGAAGGAAGAACACGAACAGCAAGAACACAGAGAGAAAAGATGAAGAATGGAAGGTGAATGATTCAAGAGAAAGAGAGGTTATTTTGTGAAAGAGGAGAGAGAAAAAAGCGGCAAAAAGGGGCGGGACTGTTCAAAAAGTTCGAAGTACGAAGGCGGCATGATAACAGCTCACGGCCTATCAGAGCCCGCCACGTGGCAAGGGAAAGGGAAGCGTTACAGTCGTGATTAAAGAGACGTTTTGACCGGATATAGCTGAGTTCGGAGTAAAACTAGCTCGGCTGGATACACTGAAGGGTTTTTATCTCGGCTGGAAAGGCTTGTAGAACTTCAGCTCGGCTGAAGGATTTGTAATCTTAATCATGCTATGCAGATGAAATTAAGGGGCAATTGAGAGGGTAATTTTTGGGAAAGAATTGGGCCGAGCTGTGAGTTGGGCCTTGCGGCCCAAAGCGTGAAGGAATCAATAAGAGGCCGTAATGTTATTTCGGCCCAGTAGAGGTATAGATACTCCGGCCCAGGAGAAGTGAAGTTATTCCGGCCCAGGAGAGGTGTGGTTATTCCGGTTCAAGAATGTGTAAAGCAACTCCGGTCCGGTGGCAGTTTGAAGTGAGTCCGGCCTTGCATTTAGTCCGGTCGTGACGTATTATGGTTAGGTCAGTCAGAACTTACTACTTGGAAGTTTGATCTAAACACACCATGGTTGAACAGGGGAAAGCCGAGATAAGGAGCTGGAGGAGAAAGACCGAGCTAAGGACAGTTCGGCCTTCTCTGTGGCTCTGCGCAACCAAGCTTATTTCGGTTATATAGTAGTTCGGCCAAAGTGCTCTTTTCTCTTTCCTATTTTTAAATATCTCATTCACTATTTACTCCCTTTCTACTTTCATGTCTCTTTACATCTCCACTTGGTTTTTTATTTAATTTTATTTTATTTCAACAACAAAATATATATTTTAATATTAATATATTTCTAATTTTTTGCAGTCCTCTGTTACAGAGTATAAAATCATTACATTTATTCTTAATTTAGCTACATTTACCACAATAAAAAAAAAAAACCCAAAAAAAAAAAAAAAAAAAAAACCCAAATACAACTTAAAAAAAAAACTTCCTACACCTTGTAATGGGCATTTGTGACGGGCATCAGCACCTCACTAGTACTATAGCAATATGCAAGGTATACAACAGTAGAGTCACTGTTTTGTTTTAACATATTGTTATATATACTTACCAAAAAAATATACAAATATATAAAAAACTTGGTCAACAGGATTATACGAGGAGAATTATTTCCTCCCCGTACAATCTATAAATTTTCGTTTCTAACCAAATTAAGATCAACGCAACTTTGTTGAAATATTGGAGGAACATATTGTAATAAGAATCTTCATTATTCTTTTTTTATTCTTTTTTTATTTTTATTTATTAATGTACATATGACTTAAAAGGCCATGTTGATTTCTAATATGTAATATTATAGTTTGATCATATTTGTAATATGTATGAAATATGGACATACGAAATTAGTAATATGTAGAATATTAGATAAATTAAATATATCATATAAGTAATTGTATGGATGATATTAGTATGTTTGGTTACAATAGACCATGGCATGTGGGTTCATGAAAAAGTTTTTTTTTTGACCATGAATACGATGATCTAATTACAAAATCCTATGAATACCATGAACCCTTACGATGATGATCTAATTATTTATTAGATTTATCACCAAAAAAATAGACAATAAATATATTTTCAAAAACAAATCATGAAAAAGTCTAGGTATCACTCTGTGACAGGCGAATGACCGGTAATTAGATCATCGTATTCATAGGATTTTGTGATTTAAAAACGAAGTGTATATTTTTATAGTGTGATTTATTTTTATTTTTTTTAATTTTAACCACATTATCATTTAATTTTGAGGCATTCAGCCACAAGTCTCATTTTAAAGAGTTATTTAACTTAAGGCCCCATTTGGTAGAGCTGTGGAAAAGTGATTATAGATTATAACTTAACAGATTATGCCTTATAGCTGTGAACATAAGCTGTTAATCTGTTTGGTGCAGCTGTGGGATTATAGATTTAAGCAGCAGAGTAGTGTTTGGTTAATAAGCTGTAAAATAACTTTTTACTGTATAATTGTCTTTTCTGCCCTTATATGATGTAAAAATGATTATTTTGTTATTTTTTTCAGTTTTAATTTAAAAAAAATATATTTCATTAATAAAAGTTAATATAATTAGTATTAATTAGTATCAATTAATATAAAAATATACATTTGCTAAAAATGTAATGGAAGTATTATTGTCACAATTATTTTCCATTATAAATTAATTAGTATCAATTAATTGCTTAATTAGTATCAATTAATACTAAAATTATTAATTAGTATCAATTAATGGCTTCATTAGTCTCAATTAATACTAAAATTATTAATTAGTATAAATTAATATTAATATTTAATTTTTATTAGTATCAATTAATATTAATAATCAACAATTGTTATTAATTAGTATCAATTAATAATTAATTCATTACAAAAGTATACAATATTAATTTATTAATAATTAATACCAATTAATATTGATTTTTTTCTTTTTCTTTAGAAATATACAATTTTTTATTTTTTAATTAATATAAAAATATGCAATATGAATTTATTAATAATTAATACCAATTAATATTGATTTTTTAATTAATATTGAACTATTGGACCAAAAACACTGCTATCATATATGGCCCAAGGGCCACCACTAATTTGGCCCACTTCAATAACTAGTTTTGCTATAAAATATTTCTTTATTAACCCCTTGGCTATCCTTTTGATTATTATTAAGAGAAAATTGATAATAAATTCAATTTAGAAAGTGTCCAAGACATTAGATCTAGTGTTTTTTTTTTTAATTGGCAAGAGGTCTATCTTTTGTGAAATAGTTTGGTGAGAGGTCATTTTACTTATTTTGAAGAACATTTTATTTCTAATTTTATCTTTTAATTTATCTGTTGTCTTTCATTAACTATTTGTTCAAATTATTTTTTTTATCTGTTCAATACCTGTATAAAAGTAAAATTTTACTCTGAAAAACTAGTAAATGTTAGACTCTACACAAAGTAAAATTTTTACTCTGTATAAAAGTAAATTTACTCTGGTTCTGTCAATGAAAAACGAACAATAGAACCAGAGTAAAATTTACTCTGGTTCTATCAAATGAAATTTGATAAAAAAAATAACAAAAATAAATCAAAACAAACAAACAAAAACAAAACAAATTAATCAACAATCAACATATCTAATTGAGAGAAAAACTTCTAAAACTCGAT